GGGCGGGGCCGTGCCAGGGGCAGGACATCAAGTGCGCCATCGACTCGACCCTCAAGGATGCGGCCTCCAACCTGATGGAGAAGGTGACTCAGCAGGTGGCGGCTGACGCCGCCGGCGCTGACTCAGCGAAACCCGCTGATGCGAGGCCGCCGGCCCTGAAGAACGGCGCGGGCAGCAGGGCCGCCTCGGCAGGTGTGGCGCTCGGCGCCCTGGCAGCGGCGGCGGCCGCGCTGGTGCTGTGAGGAATGGTTGGGTAGCGCGTGCCCGTGCGTGGTCCGAGGGACCACTTCTCTTGTGATTTCTATGGTCATGCTTCGCAAACAGCGCATGAAGTGTGCATTTATGCTTTCTGGCCTGTGGGTAGCGGATGCTTTCTCACTGCAATGCCTTTGAACCAGCGCAGATCCTTGGCTGCCGCGATGGCGTAGCAAGGGCTTGCATCACAGAAGCTGATGTTATGCTTGGCGGTTGCACCTGCGGTGACTGGGAGCTTGAGACAAGATGCATCTTGCACTCCAGCTTGCATAATGATAGGTTGAGTTGCAACGCGTCCAGCTTTTTGCCGTGCTGCACGCGCCGCTTGAACTTGTTTAGTTGGCTTCCTCCGCCACCCAGCCAGGGCTGCTGCTGCCCCTGGCGTGCAAGCTCGCGCGCAGCCACCGCTTTGTGGTCGGCTGCGTCATGGGATGGTTAATGAGTCGGCCGTGGCAGCATGACCTGTGCCATCATCACACTTGGAACGTGCAAACAGAGAGCAGCATGCTGTGAATCGATTCGGATTGCGATTGGCACGTGGCGTGCAACACGCGCCCTCTCGCTGCACGGCAGTCATGCATCACCCTCAGGTACACCCGTTGTGGCCACAATCCACGCGCCAGGGGGGCGCTGCCGAATGTTCATGCACGTCATCTGTAAGAAGTTCAGCAGATGCTTGACTGCTGTTGCTGGCTGCTCGGTTGCTGCAGCGATGGTGTGGTACAGAAGCATCAGGCCTGAAAATTCGCACTTAGCCACCAAGCGAACTGCCTCCGCGCGCCGAAATGTGACGCAAGCTGGCTCGCTGTGTCATCGCAGCCAAGGCAGTTCATTGGGCAGCTGGTGCTGACAGACGGGCCCAGGGCAGACAGCAGCATGAGCAGTCAGCAGGCTGCTGAAGGTTGCCTGCTGTTGTGCACACTTGTCGCAAATGTCAAACGGCTACGTGGTGCATACTGAGAAAGGCGGGGGGCGCACCACACCAGTGTCACTCCACCGAAGCGAGTGCCGGGACCGCACTGTCAGGACCGCACAGGCATAGGCAGCACACGCTAATGGATCATATTGTGCGTCCATCTGCCGGCGCGTGCCGCGTGAGGTCACGCACCATCCTCTTGGCGTCCCGGGATCATTCAAGTTTGAAACAGGGGCCCCAAACGACGCCTCCGCAGCGCGCATTTGAAGCTTGGTATTGCAGGCTATCATTTGATAGCTTCAGCAGTAGGCCTCGTGGTGCTCACTTTTGAACACCGCGCGTAGATCAGGCCGTTTAGCCATGAAGAAGGCCAAGACGCCGGCGTCGAATGGCCCGAAGCAGAGGAGCATCGCCAGCTTCTTCTCGTCGCAGCCAAAGGCTGCGGGGGAGCCGACGCCAGCGAAGGCCACCCCTGTAGCAGGTGCGGCACATTGCGGCACGCGCTGTTCCTCACGACGCGCGCTGTCTGCACCAAGCCTTGCCGTGGCTCTATCAACCGTAATGCATCTTGCAGCCTCCTCCGAACCTTACCACACAAACGCTGCGCCGCCGTGTGCATTCGGTGGACCCGCCCCCAGCGCAACACGACGACCAATACAAGGAGAACCGCTCCTCATCAGAAGACGAGCAGCACCGCCGCAAGTCTGTGCAAAAGGACGACCGCACAGCCCCGCCGCCGCCGCCGCAGCAGCAACAACAACAGCAGCACACGCCTCTCGCCGCAGCGGCGACCGGCGCGCCGAGCCCCGCCCCCGCCGGAGCGACGCCCGCCAAAACGGCCGCAGCGGCGGCGCCCGCGACCCCCGCTACGACTGGTGGCGTGAAAGCCAAGGCCGGTGGCGCCAAAGCTAGCGGCGGCAAGGAGCTGGTCGGGCGCCGCGTGAGCATATTCTGGCCCAAGGAGCAGGCCTGGTTTGATGGAGAGATTGACGATGCCGGGGACGACGGCAAACACCACGGTAAGAACGCGGGGGCAGGGGGGTTGGGTGGGGCGAAACGGGGGCGAGTGGCTGCCAGGGGCGCCCCCGCCCGTGGGGGGACCGAGGATACTGCCGGTCGAACCCCGGCAGGGCGCAGGCGCGCACATCGAAGCCCACGGTGGGCTGCGCTTTTAGGACGCGGCCTCCCCACGCCCCTCGTGTCCCCTCGCCTTGTTGGCATCGCCCCACAGCCTGCGGTAGCACCCCCCGCTCACCCACCCTTTGTTGTAACCCGTCCATGCCAGTTACATATGACGACGGCGACGAGGAGTGGGTGAGCCTAGTCAGCGAGAGGCACAAGATCCTGCCAGCAAAGGGTGAGTCTGGATTTCTACTGCGAATGTATGTGTTTTTGTGTATATGTGTGTGTTTGCGTGTTGGGAGTGGCAGTGTCAACAAGAGGCGACCTCACCACAAAAGAGTAGGCCTGGTTTGTGCCGGGCGCGGGGGAAGCCGTGCCGGGCCGTGGGCGCCGGCGCACTTTTGGGTGGGATCGGGCGGGCGGATGGCGCAGGCTGCTCGCGCGTGTGTGCCAATTGGGCCGCTCGGGGTCCTGTGGAGCTTGGCAGGAGCCCCGTTGTGTGCCACACGCGGGTTTGGGGCCGCGCAAGTGGTCCCTGCAACCTCGACGGGTGATGGCGGCGCTTTAGCTGGGAGACGGCCTCAAAAACGCTCGCGCCACGTCCTGCACGCCGCCGCACCCTCCCACCTTCCTACCCGCCCCCCCCCCCCCC